CTCGATTGGCCGTGGCCATCTCCTGTCCTGTGCAAACTGACTGACTGACTGACTGACCGAACTGACCGACCTGAAACTTGACCTTGCAAGGTCGCGGATTTGAGCGCGTTTGCTACTGCCCGGTCGACTACTTAGATGTCGGTAAGCGTCGAATGTTATAGGTATCTTTAGGCAGTACAATTATTCGGGAATTTTTAAAATGCAGCGATTATAAAAAAATTACTTTACTCCATTGTCATTGGAAAGAAATCCTAATAACAGTGGTGCGAAATTAATTTTAATCTCGCATGCATGTATATATATGCATGTATATTTAATATACATGCATATATGAATGTATATACAATGTGTGTTCGTACATATGTTCGTATATATGTTCGTACTCATATGCATATTTGCATATAGCAACAAAGAGGTATCTGTTAAATGATTGGAGGATTTAGTTTTTATATCAAACTAAATCCTCCGATATTACCATATCATATGATATGGTTGTATCGTCGTGTAATTCAGGCGTGATTTGAAAAGCCAGATAGCATGGTTCTCGTCTGCAGTGCGAATCCATCTGGTCACCTGGTTATCGGACCCGGGACCTCACAGGCAGCAGGTGAGCACAATATCCACATAACCACCGAGCAGCTGATCAGACTCTCAATTTGGATGTACACTGACTAGTCCAGCTAATTTCTGCGATCTTCTTGCGGGTTTCGCATGTTGACCAACTCAGCACTAGCCTGATCAATTGCCTGTTGACTGAGTGGTTAGTATGCCTGCGTTCTACCTTTGACTTCCCGGGCTCGATATCCCGTTGGGTCGGTGGATTCGCACTGCTCGAAACCACTGGCCGTGCTTTCTAGCTTTTCGGCTTAAGCCTCATTTGCGCGACGAATTCATCATATATATATATATATATATCATAGCGGGGTCCTGTGTGGTTCACCTCTGCAAGTTGCGGGGCTCAGCCGTTCGCAACTTTAGGGTCCACCCCGTATACTGTTCACCGCATAATTATGTAATTCGAATGTTGGGCTCAGCCGAGGACCCTTGAACTTCTTGTATACTAGAACTAACCCCATATTGATAGGCCTGTTTCGGGTTATTCGTCGTGCGCGAATTCGTGAACTTGTTCAACCTAGAATTGTATGGGTTTTGAAGATCATATTAAATAACCTACCTGATACCCGCGGGATTTTATTTTACATTCGCTACAGAGTTCTAACCAATCATGCATCCTAAATATGTGAATAATCGTCTGATAAGCGTTGACCCTAGAAACTCAGGGATGGGGTTGTCCCACGAATCGTTCCTCGTTGAACTGCTTTGGATATATGATTAACCGTTCGGGGTTGTAACTAAAATCCAAGCCAACATACATCTAAAAAACAAAGTTTGAAGCACTACACTGGCGAAAGTAGTTCTCCGCGTGTCACGTGAAAAAGTAAATTAAAAATCTACGAATTGAGTGCCATAAGACAGGATAACTGTATAACAGATGACAAAACTGGTAGCATGAGGTAAAAAAGAGCTCATTAACCGCTTTAAATACTAAGGGATTAGAAATGGATTGCATAGAAGTAAAGGATAATAAAGGATAAAGGATTCCTTCCAAATTCCTTCATAGTAGAAGCGTCCTGGATACCCTCCGGTTAAGCCGAGCTGAATGCTACCAGGCACGTCTTCGGGTTGTGGTGGTGGATACCTTCACTGAAGGTTATTTGTGAATAATTTGTGGCATACCGCAACAAATAAGCTGCCGTAAACAAACAACGGCCGCACTCCCAGTGTGTGGTGGTTTTCAGGCTGGTCACCTGGCTCCTGTTTAAAAGCCGCCTAAACTCAATGACGGTGTCGTGACAAAGGTCGATGTAACTGAACTTTTGAAACTAAGATAATTGACCCCTCACTTCCGAGGCCTGGGGTTACTTCCTGCTGCCTTGCAGTTCGCACTTGGTTTTTCAAAGGCTAGAGGTGCGCCCTCAAAATACCAAAGAAAACGCCGAGTGAAGCTGGGGACTTCTCTCTTACCAAACTCTCGAGAAACTTCATCATGTCTGTAGCCAAATTAGCCAATTTCCAAGGAGCCAGCCGCAGTAAATTAAGTAAAAAGCAACAAGATCATTCTTTGACAGCAATTTCCAGGTCAGTTGTTACAACCAATATTGATGCACCTTCCTATGCTGTCTAATAGTTACTTAATTGGATGAAAAAAATAAAGGGTAGAATATTCAGATCAGTGTCAGAGTAAAAGTAGAGAATTAGTGAAGACTAAGGTGGCAGAAAAATTGAAACCCTGCACTTTCGTGCGCGGGTTTTGATTGCTGTCTTTTGGCTGCCCGTTTGGATGAAGAATAGGAGAAGAAAGGAAACTTGAAGGTGGAGTCGAAAAGAAAATGAAGTTCAGTGGTCTAAGGTTCCAAAGAGATTGGGAAGAT